AATCTGTTCTGATTTTCTCTTCCTTCCTGAGTCAGTATTAATAATGTGTTTCTAGGCATTGTCATCTAAATTGTGTAATTTGTTAGCATAAAGTTGTTCATAGTAGTCCCTTATAATGCTTTTATTTTCTCTGGGGATGCTAGTGATGTCTCCTCTTTTATTCATAATTTTGGTAATTTGTGTCTTGTCTTTTTTTTTTGGTATGTCAGTCTAAAAATCTGATATTTTTGATGATCTTTTAGAAGGATCAACTTTTAACCTCACTGATCTTATTTTTCTGTTTTTGGTTTCATTTCATTGATTTCTTTCTAAACTGTATTATTTCCTTTCTTTTGCTTGGTTTGGGTTTACTTTGCTCTTTATTTAATTCCTTAAAATGAAACCTTAAGTAAATGATTTGAGACTTTTCTTGTCTAATATAGTCATTTACAGCTATGAATGAATTTTCTTTTTTAGCACTGCATGTGCCTCGTCCCATACATTTTTACATGTTTTGTTTTCCTTTTTTTTTGAGTCTGGGTCTCACTCTGTCAGTGCAGTGGCATGATCATGGCTCACTGTAAACTTGAACTCCTGGCTCAGGTTATCCTTTTGCCTCAGGCTCCCTAGTAGCTGGGGACTACAGGCACATTCCACCATGGCTGGCTAATTTTTAAATTTTTTTGTAGAGATGAGGCCTCACTTTGTTGCCTAGGCTGATACCAAACTCTTGGGCTTATGTAGCTCCCTCCCACTGTGGTCTACCAAAGTTCTGGGATTGCAGGCATGAGCCTCTGCACCCGGATGTGTACTTTTTTAATTGCGGTATAACTCACATAACACAAAATTTACCATTTTAAAGTATAAAATTCTGGGATTTTTAGTATATTCACAAGGTTATGCAACCATCACTAGTATCTAATTCCAGAACACTTTCATCACTCTGTAAGAAATTCATATCCATTAGCATTTGTTCCTCCTTTGCTATTTGTTCCAACCCCTGACTACTACTTTCTGTCTTGAATTTACCTTTTCTGGACATTTCATATGAATAAAGTCATAAAATATGTGGCATTTTGCATCTGGCTTCTTACACAGAGCCTGACTTTTCTAAGATTAATTCTAAGATTCATTCATATTGTAGCATGTGTCAGTAGTTCATGACTGAATAATATTACATTGAATGGATATGAATATACCACATTTTGCTTATTTTTTCATTAGTTGATGAGCTTTTGGATATCTTTGCTTTTGTCTATTATGAATAATATTTCATTTCGTTCTTTTTTTATAATTCCTATATATTTACTATTTCATGAGTCATAGTCCTCATACTTTCTTTTAATTCTTTAATCATGTTTTCCTTTGATTATTGGAATATATTTATAATAGCTGCTTTGAAGTTTTTGCCTTCTAAGTTCAACATTTTTGTTCCCTCAGAAATAGTTTCTGTTGACTGCTTTTTTCCCCCTATGTATGGGTCACCCACTTTGCCCTGTAATTTTTTGTTGAAAACTGAACATTTTGGATAATATATTATAGCAAATCTAGGTTTGATTTTCTCCCTGAAGATTGTTGCCATTTTATGTTAGTGTATTAAGTGACTAACATTTTTTGTTAGTGTGTTTAGTTTATAGTAAGTCTGTGGAATCTGTTTCTTGTGAAGTGTGTGACTGTTGATATCTCTGCTCAATTTTTAATTTCATTTTAAACCTGGCTACTTAGGGCTTAGCCCTGTATCAGCATAGCCTTGTGATCAGCCAGTGCTTGGTCATTGCTTATGTTTAAACACCTGTGCCATTATATGCTCCCATACTTAATGCTGATGGTTCTTTATGTTTTCAAAGTCTAACCAGTTTTAAAACGTCCTCTGTGCTTGTGGTCTGTTTCATGGTTTACTAGGTATTTGTGGATAGCTTGGTCTCTCTCTGGTTTCTCTTATGTGAATGGGTAGTGAGCTTGTTAAGACTCTCTATAACTGTTATTTTCTGAATCTCCCTGCTATACGCCTGGTCTTTTGCTAACTGCAGTTTTATGTTGGCTGAGTCGCTCACTGTTCCTTGCCGTTTATTTAGCTCTGAGGTTGCTACTATTACTGTAAACAATGTTTGGGTGGATTTTTTTTTTCTGTGCTTCAATCTGTCACCCAGGCTGGAATGCAGTGGCACAATCACGGCTACTGTAGTCTCAACCTGTTGGACTCAGATGATCCTTCCACCTCAGCCTTCCAAGTAGCTGGAACCATAGACATGCGCTAACATACCTAGCTAATTTTTTGATATATTGTAAAGACGAGGTCTCACTATGTTGCCCAGGCTGATCTCAAACCTCTGAACTCAGACAATCATCTCGCCTTCGCCTCCCAAAGAGCCAGGATTATAGACGTGAGGCACTGCGTCGAGCCTGAACTGGAAATTTAAACCTGAAGCCCTCTAGTTCCTGTAGAAGAGTTTTTATCATTTTATTTCATTACATATTTGTTCTGTATTATATATTTTGCATAATATTGTTTTTTAACTAGGTAAATAACATACCTCTAGTAGTATAAGTTAAAACAGTGTACATTTTAAATTTTATAAGCAGTTTTATGTCAACTAATAATATTTACTGAGTGCTTGCATTGTTCTATATACTTTATCTATATTCTCTTACTTTTTCTCTTTACATGAAATCTTTTAGTTCTCACAACTCCTTGACTTAATTATAGACATCATTTCAATTTTATAGGTAGGTGTGATGTTATGATATAGATACGGTTTTCATCCATGATTCCTGGTCCATAACTCTCACAGCTCTTGTTACAGTCTTTTGTTATAATGTTGGGGTGCTTTAGGTCACAGGAGCAGGCCTCAGGAAACAGAAGAAGGCCCCTCTGACCTTCTTTTGTCATCCTTTCACCTGCATAAATCAGGACTCTAATCTGTTTGTGGGTTGGAAGATCCTCATTCCAGAGAGTCTTACCTTATGCCGTAGAAGAAGAAATGCTGCACAGAAAGGCTAAGAAAGGTCTGAACAAACCGGCCTTGCTCGATTTAGGGCATGTGCTTTTGGTCCAGTCACATTTCTGTACAGTTGTCAACCATACCTATGTAATGAAGCTTCCATGAAACCCCAGAAAACTGAGTTTGGAGAGCTTCCACATAGCTGAACACAGGGCGGCTCCTGGAAGGTGGTGTGTCCAGGGCTGGTATGGAAGCTTCATGCCCCAGGCCTCGCCCTATACACCTCTTCATCTGTATCCTTTGTAATATCCTTTATAATAAACTGGTAAACATGTTTCACTGAGTTCTGTGAGCTATTCCAGCAAATTGATCGAACCCAAAGAGGAGGATTGTAGGATCCTCAACTTGAAACCAACGGGTTTTAAGTTCCACAGGCCTAGATTTGCAACTGGTGTCTGTGGGGAGGCAGTCTTGGAGACTGAGCCCTCATCCTGTGGGATCTGACACTGTCTTCAGGTAAATAGTGTTGGAATTGAATTAGAGAATGCCCAGCTGGTGTCTACTGCTTGAGTGTGTGGGGGAAACCACATTTGGTCTCAGAAGTCTTATTCTGTGTTGATTGTTGTGGTAGTGTGAGAGCAGAGTTAAAAACATGGTTTGAGTGTTATCCCAAAATAGTAAGTAATTTAGTCATATGCCTAATGGTGGAAGAGATAGTAGTTGAAAAGTGCTTTCTTTTAAGTGAGATTATAAATGAAATTAACTTGCAGAGTACTTAAAAGTCTTATTATTTGGTCTGGGTGTTTAAAGGATGGCTTAGTCTAGAATAGATATTCTTTCTTTTGAGGAAAAATTTAAATATAAACTATAATCTCAATATAGTTATAAAAGCTAGAATAAAGTAATACAAAAATTCTTGTTTCTGTAGAGAATAATCATTTTTAAAGTTTTAGTTCATATAACACTCTGGGAAGTACAATTAGGTGATTTGAGAGGGACCATTTCAAATTTTTCTTTCTTAAAGATAAACCAGCAGGGAGACTTCTGATTAGGTAAAGATAGTCATTGAGTTTTTTTGTGCTGAAGTAGAGAGAAAATGAGGGTCTGTATTTCTTTTGGATTGTGCTATCCTGGTAGTAGTGTTTGGAGGCATAGCACTATTGATGGAAGGTAGAGGGAAGATGTTAAGTAGCAGAAGAATTTTTATTTTAATTATTTAAGATTTGTAAGCTCTTATATCTGTGATTGAAATATTTACTCCATAAAACCACAGTACAACATCATCACCACTACTACTTAGTGTCTGATGATAACATTTTTTATTTGCTTTTAGAATCAGAGGACATATATTTTGAGGTATGAGATTAAAATGATGATCACATGGAAAAATCAATTTTATATATATTTTTATCTCTAAAAAATGTCTCCATTAAAAATACCTTAAATTTTTTTAGTTTTACTTACATTGTATGTAAGTTGTCCTTAAACTGAAGTGACTTCTTTGATCACATTAAGTGCTATGTGATATGTTGTAGTTTATAATTTGATAAAATTCAGTGACTTCCTAATGAGTTATCATTTATTACTAAAGAAAACGATCAATCCCTAAGGGTACTGAACAATATTCTTTAGCCCAAGGGTTTTTTCCTTCTGCTTTTGCCTTGTGACGACTTTTGATAGAGTTAAAATAATATACTTTTATAAAAAGCCACATATTATAAACATGGCCATATTCCCATAGAATTTTTAAACAATAGACTGTTTTTAGAGCAGTTTAGGTTTATAGTAAAATTGTGCAGAAAGTACAATTTTCTCATGTATACCTCTTCCCCATCCTACTCTGCAGTTTTCCCTATTATTAATGTCTTGGATTGGTGGAGTACATTTGTTACAACTGATAAACTAATATTGATATATACCTATTGATTTTTTGAAAGAATTGTAATCTAGTTTAATAGATTAATATAGCAGTTTTTATAAATCCTTATACATACTCAACTGGGATAGCTATTGTTTATTCATTATTGATTTTTTAACGCTTTTACTGACAATGATATACAATGTGTGTGATCTTTTTAGGGTGGAATAATTAATGATGGTTCTGAATTGATTGGTCCTGCTGAAGCTCACTCGGATTCCTTCATTGATACCTTTCCTGAGTGTAGTACAGAGGGTAAGAGATTTTAATTTTTTTGTATTTCAAAGGTTTTGACTGCAGAACAATATAAATAATATCTACATTGTAAAAAACAGATGAATATAGGACTCTGAGGACATTTCACTGATTCTAAGGTACTTTTTTTTTTTTTTGAGTTGGAGTCTCACTCTGTCGCCCAGACTAGAGTGCAGTGGCCACTCCCGGCCACTGCAACCTTGCCCTGCTGGGCTCCGGTGATCCTTCCGCCTCAGCCTTCCAAGTAGCTGGAACTACAGGCGCGCACTACCATGCCTGGCTAATTTTTTGATTTTTTGTAGAGATGAGGTCTCGCCACGTTGCCCCAGCGGGTCTAGAACCCGCGGGTTCAGGCAATCCACTCACCTCAGCCTCCCAAAGCACGGGATTACAGGCTGAGCCACCAAACCCGGCTCTAAGGTACTTTTTTACTTCACATTTTAGCATCACTGACATTGGGTGTATGATATTGGGTCAGTGATATCTCACGTTTAACTGGTGACGTTTTTTCTTAGTGGTATATAAGATAGTGATTCATCCTCCAAATAAGCCATCTTAGATTTGATGAAATATGATGTAATGAGTAATTCAGAATTTGCATTGTCTAGTATAACAATGACTTCTTCAAGTTTATTTAGCAGTATCTGACTTTTAAACAATTTCAGGACTGGTTTTAAAAATCCAGTCATTTACCCAGGAAGGATAAACCTAGGGCAGTTTTAGTGTTTTTGGTATGTATTCTAATAACATGAGTCCAAATCAAAGCAATTTCTTTACTTTTAATCAGTTTAACTCAAGAATGCTTAATCTCTTGTTTTAGTTTTCTATTAAGCCATACTTGAATTTATAGAAAGATTTAAATTCGTACATTTTAGCTTTTGAATTTCTGTAACTAGTTTTCTTTCAGAAGAGATTATGGAGTTAAAAGAAAAAGAGAGATTTGGGGAGAGAGATGGGAGGGGTCTTTAAAAAGAAAATAGAGAATTGGATTTGTTTGGTGTATTAAAGGTAAAATAATAGACTGAATATTTCTTCATCTCTTTCATGAGTAAGAGTTTATGGCCGAGGGGAATGCTTTATGACTTCAACATGAGAGGTAGCCATAGTCTCATTGTAGCGCTGTTTTTGTGAGGGTATATGTTGATGTCATGTAGCCACAGCCACATTGACATAGATCTATAGCAATAAATTCCTATCTTGATATGGTAAAGAGCACTAAGTTCCTATTCATTGTATGGACTGATGCACTTAATTTTTTTCCTTTTGGTGCTACCTCATTTAGAGAAGTGGTTACCTTTTGTTCGTTTTCATTGCATTTCTCATGACTTAAAAACAAAGTCCATTAATTTAAACTTAGTGTTCTGTATAACGCATGGGGGCCACACACCCAGGAGATTCCATTGTGCCCTCAGTACCTTTCACTCGATCCTGATTCTGCCAGGTCCATAGAAAAACATTGTTGGGCTCTGTGTCGTGGCTTAAGCCTGTAATCCCAGGACTTTGGGAGGCCAAGGAGAGGATTGCCTGAGCCCAGGGATTTCAGACCAGCCTGGGCAATTTGGTGAGACTTCGTGTCTACAATATATCAAAAAATTAGCTGGGCGTGGTAGTGTGCACATGAGTTCCAGCTACTTGGAAGGCTGAGGTGGAAGGATCGCCTGAGCCCAACAGGTTGATGCTGGGGTGGCTGTGAGCGTGCCACTGCATTCCAGCCTGGGCGAAGGAGCGAGACTCCAACTCAATTAAAAAAAAAAAGAAAAAGAAAAACATTGTTGACAGTAATTTTACTTTATAATCTGTCTAATTTTTTTGGAAAAAATATCTGTTCTTTGTGACATTCTTGCTACTGTTTAGAAAATCTATTCCCTGCTTAAGATCCCAGTGTAATTCTAATTCTAGAATTCTAGAATTCTGGAAGGTGACTTTTTTAGGATAACTGGATCTGCCTGTTGCTTCAGTTTCCCTACTCCTGAGAAAGAGGAGCTCATGTTTTCCATGTGTAAAATATACCAATTCTATGATGTCCAATAGAGGACAGGTAGAAAAGTGAGAAAGATTTGTAGAAGAGTATTCAATGAGGAGTACAGTTCTTGGAAGTGAAGAACGTGTCTTTTCTCTCTCCATTTTTTGGATACAGAAATCAAAGATTGATGTGGGAGTGGTTATATTCTTTTGATATCTCTAATAGGCCTCTTGTACTATGTAGGGTCAACCATGGTGACAGAAGGATATCTTAGGATCCTATTTTAGTATGAGGTAATCATGAATAGGAGCAGTCAGATCTTTTTGTTCTTTGCTGTAATCTAGGAGAGAAGGGGAGGAGCATTATTATTAGGAATGACTCTTCTTGGGATGGTGTTCTAAAATATTGAAGGCTGTTCAAGATGGACAGGTGGCTGTATTCATGTTAAAGGAGATACAACCTCTAAAGCTAGGGGGAGCATGTATTTTGTTGTCCAAACTAGGACACTTCTGAGAATTATAGACAATGCTTTTAATAATTACACCAAAACCACAAGCATGACATAGAACTGCCTCCGGCAAACTAAACTGTAAGGGTGACCCTACCTATGGCAGTTGTTTCATAGTTTACCTCTGAAGTTTCAAAAGGATGTGTTTCCTTTGGAAAGATTTATCTCTTAGGAATGTGCTTTTATGAGAGAAATTAGGGCCAACATTTCTGTTGAAAACATGGAAAAGGACTTATGACATGTAAAAGGAATAGTGACATTTTATTCTGTCAGTGCAGTTGAGTTTTCAGCTACATTACCATCCCTGAAACACACTGTGATCCATGAAAAATGAGAAACATGCAACTAGAAATGTGGTTAATGGTTATGTTTTTTTTCTCCTCTTCCTTTAAAAACTGTTATGCCTGGCTAATTAATCCTGCTGAAAGATATCAGGTTGACAAATACAGACAGATCAACAGTTTGCAAATTTATTGTTATTTGAGAGAGAAAAAGGCTTATAAATATCATGAGATTGTCTGACAGTGGGAAGGTAGAAGATTTACTTCAGACCAAAAAGGTCTGCAATTTCCAGAGACAACCAAGGGAGAGGGCATCTAGTAGCAAAAGAAGAGGAAAGCCAGCAGCTAGCCAAGCCCCACAGGTATGCAGTGAAATGGAGAGTTCTAGAGGAATTATAGTGCCAAATGCTTGTATTTGGGATTTAGGGCCAAAACGTGAGGAGGTGATTTACTGTGTAACAGCTCATGAGTGCACTGTTTCCTGAGTGAAGTTTTAAAGATGGATTGTCATTCTTTATACTTGCAACTTAGTTTGCTGATGGAGTGAGTTAGAAGGGCAAATCTTAATATATAGTCTGCTGTTTCAAAAGCCTTTAATTACAATTTAATGACAAGTTTATCACTTCTTGGAGAACAGAGCTATATAATTTTTTTTTTTTTTTAATTTTTATTTTTTTTGAGTTAGAGTCTCACTCTGTCGCCCAGGCTGGAGTGCAGCCTTGACCTGCTGGGCTCACGCGATCCCTTTTACCTCAGCCTTTCAAGTAGCTGGAACTACAGACACAGGCCACCATGCCCAGCTCATTTTTTGATTTATTGTAGAGATGAGGTCTCGCCAAGTTGCCCAGGCTGGTCTCGAACTTAGGCAATCCTCTCACCTCTGCCTCCCAGTGCTGGGATTATAGGTGTGAGCTACTGCACCCAGTGAAAACAGAGCTATATAGAGGCTAACGATCATTATTTTTGTTAGTACCTTAAAAATGCAATCAACAGGTTCTAATTTACTTTGAAATGAAAGTTTTCTAAGGAAGACATGGAGATCTGGATTTCTGCTTTTTTAAAATTACAGTTATTTTATAGTAGAGCAAGATAGAGAAACCCCTTTAAGGCTTCATAAAATCAATAATTTGGTGTTAAACTGATAAATATATTTTATCTAATATGAAACTTAAAAATTATGAAATTGTTCAGTGGACTCGTGGGCAAAAGTTATAGTTTTACTTTTTAAAAAAAATTTTGAGTTGGAGTCTCACTATGTCATCTAGGCTGGTGTGCAGTGACATGCTGTGGCTGCTGCAGTCTTGACCTGCTGGGCTCAGGCGATCTTTCTGCCTCAGACTTCCAAGTAGCTGGAACTACAGGCATGCATCATCACTCCTGGCTAATTTTTTTTTTTTTAAATTATTGTAGAGACAAGGTCTCACCAAGTTGAGTCTGGTCTCGGACCCCTGGACTCAGGCAATCCTCTTGCCTCTGCCTCCCAAAGTGTTGGGATTACAGGAGTGAGCCACCATGCCCAATCAGTTTTACATTTAAAAAATGAAATCTTGGTTCCTCTTTATCTCCTTTGTAAGTAAATTAAACTATATTTTTTCAAAAATGAAAGATACGATTGATTGCTAACATTTTATTTCCATTTTAAACTTCTTTCTTTTTGTTTAATTAAACTTAGCTAATAAGTTACTGTGACATTTGTGGAAACCTGCCCAAATGGATGCATGGCAGTTGAGCTTCTTGACATGTTTCTCACATCTGTTGGCCTGTTTGAAGGATATAGGTTGCTTTATTGCCATGCTGGCCTTGATATCGGAGCTTTGATGTTGGTGAAGTCTCATCTGGTAACCTGTGTAATTTCCTTTTCCTAATACACTTCTTGGCTTCCTTTTCAGTTTTGGGAAGGATGTTTTTCAGGTTCATGCAGCAAATGGGAGAAAATAATTAGGTGATTATAACCACAAATACAAATTGAGAGATTAGCTTCTTGTATGTAGCAGATTGTAAGAGTAAATATTCTTAAATGTCTCCTGGAACAACAAAATCTACGCTTATTTGGGGAGCTGTGAATTGTGGATTAAGTACTCCCCCAAGTGCTCATTGTAACAGTTGTAGAGACAAGAAAGGATCTATTAAACTGTGTTGAATTAGCCGTTTTAGAGTAAATGAAATGTTCATTTTGAGGATAACATCTATTGCTGGTTTTAAAAATGACATCAAGACCAAGATGTGTATGTTTTTTTGATGACGGGAT